AAATACGCGTATTTGAAGTAAAAGTGTGTGAGAGATGCATCTCCGGTTTTAAGTTAGCCGCTACTCTGTAGCTAGCGCCACGAGTTAGCCATAGAGACGTCTTAGCTTCCTCGGTTAGCTTCAGGAGGGGCGGCCACGGAGCAGGCCAGCCTAATTTCTTATTTTATGTTACCTGGATAGGAGTAAACGGTGTCAGTGTCTTTTAAGGCCTTTAAGAGCTGTGTAAACCCGCTGAAAAAGGCCAGTGGACATGAATAGAAATGGGTGATGGAGGCTTTGTGAGTTTAATGTGTGTTAAAGGAGACGTCAGGGATTTTAGTTAAGCAAGGGTTCCAGGCCTGTGTGTGTTTCTGTCTTAAAAGTGTGTTTTATGTTAAATGTGGGGATTTTTTGTTGTTTTTCTGTTTTTATTTGTGTATTGACTTGCCATTTGGGCTGGAATTCAAATAGTGGGGGTTTGAGAGTTTTTTTTCTCTGGCTGAGAGTTCCCTTTGTCTTGTCTAAGCTGTGAGTTATGACAGAGGGGGGTTGGTTTTACTGATGCAGACTGTGAAAAACATCTGGACTGCATTAACCTGTTTTTTTTTCTCTGTGTTTCTTTTTTTTTTGGAGCGCCTCCTGCTGGTGAGAGAGAGATAAACTACTACTGCAGGACCGAGGGTGCTGTCTCATATTTTTACAAGGCGAGTAATTTTGGTTTTATCCACAAACTACAAAAGAAAAGTAACAACAAAGCAGTATTTTAATTTTTAGTCATTTTTTTGAGTGTAAGTGACCGTTTAATTTCATTTCTCGGTCACAGGGGGGTGTAGAAACTAATTAAAAATTAAAATATTGAAAGAAAGAAAGAACAAAGTTGATTTGTGGTATTTGTTTTTTGACAAAGAACAATGTTAGTGATGAGTATGATAGTATCTTGAATAAGCAAAGAACAGTGAATTTTTATTTTTGGCTGAGTGAAGAACCTGAGAAGAATTTTGAAACATTATCTGCTGAGAGGGAGTACAGAAAAGCTTCAAGATGCCTCCTTATTTTTCTAAAGAAGATTTCTACCAACTTCTCCAGAAAGTGACAGTCTTGGAGTTCAAGATTCATCGTCTGGAAGAGGTGAATGCGTTGGAGGATTCCACAGGTGTTAAAATGGATGAGAAGACTGACATGAGAGATCAACATGAAGAGGAAATGGAAGCTGTTTATGAGAGTGAAGCAGTATGGAATTCTGTGTGTGCCAGACCAAAAAATCTCTCAGGAAGAATTCAAATCTCAGAGGACATCGAATGCCCAGAATTACAGAGAAATGATTTCTCTCCTCCAGCAAGAAGAAAGAAGCGAAAGGCTTTAATTAAAACAGCTGATAATA